CAAATTGTACTAAATATAGAACTACTGACTCTGTTGGAATAGAGTTGTGTACTATATCTTTGCTGTGATATATTGACACAGCGACAGTTGCAAATTACGACTTTATTAGGGCTACTTTGAGGGTATCTATCTGTCAGGTTTTAGTAATGTTTGTACTTTTATGTGTTTCAGTGCGTTATTCCATCATATTTACCATTATACCATATTTTCTGATTCCTTGGGCTATTGTTACGCTGTTAGGAGGGTACGGCATGATGCAACAGATTTGTATGTTTGACTATTGTTTGTGTTATTTGGGCTATAAAAAAAAATGCCTTAATATGAATCTATTTACAGTTGATCTGTAGAAATTATAGAGATCTGTTGCTATAATTTTTCTCTATGAAATAGCTCCCAGCGTCTTCAGTGGGTTGCTAAACCTCCAGAAGGAGTCTTTATAAATTGTCCAATTTAATAACGATTTCATGGGTTGTCTGATGAAATTGTATACTAGTGTCGTGGCTGTTTCCATCTTTAGACCTTTGTTCTGACAATATTATATGCTCGATCCCTGCTTTAGCTCAACTCTTAATCAATTACAGAGTTCCCCCCCCTTTTTTTTTTTATTTATCCTGTTTGCACAAATTGCATTACATGTGATGATGTAAAGACATATGTCGATAGTGCATCATTGACAGCTGTGCTTCTATTATACAACATTAAGGTCTTGCTGCGGGTTATATACATGGGTTGTTGGCCTAAATTGCTATATATATATATACTTAAGTAAAAAACTTTAATAAGTCACATCGTGTATCCTCCCTTTTCATCTATCCAAACCGGGAACTCAACAATAAGACCAAATCCTTTAATTCTAAGAATAATATTCTGTGTTTCTCAGAAATCTATCTTCTTCTTATCTGCTATTTTGTTTACACACTTGATAACAGTAACTATTTAAAACATGCTGTGATATTTTTTTCTCATTTAGCACTTTTGTCTGAAGATGGTAACAACGCTGTTACCAAAACATCACACACTATTTATTTATTTGGATTTGGTCTTATTACCTTGTATACATTATAAAGTTCATTGATATATATGGCACAATTTGGATTATAGAGTATAAAACAAGGTAATAAGACCAAATCCAAATAAATAAATAGTGTGTGACGTTTCAGTAACAGCGTTGTTACCATTTTCAGACAAAAGTACTGAATGAGAAATTTTACCACAGCTATTTAAAACATGCTGTGGTAAAATTTCTCATTCAGTACTTTTATCTGAAGATGGTAACAATGCTGTTACAGAAACGTCACACACTATTTATTTATTTGGTCTTATTACCTTGTATACATTATAAAGTTAATGTACAAAAAGATGCACCAATCATTTTAAATTCAATCTACTCTCATAGGATGTTATGAAATTGAAGCCGCCCTTGTATACTGATGAGGGACATAGCCGTGGTATACTGGTTGTTGGCTTTTGTCTGAATTTGTCAAAACTGGATTTGTCACTCATTCTTTATTGCCTGCCACTTTTAAGTTTTTTTTATTTATTATTTTATTACTAGTATTATATAGTATTTTATTACTACAGGCAAAGTCAGACTTTCACCAAAGTGTGCCTGGATCATGGTGCCATGATCAACGAAAGCTGCACCCCTACACCCCATTAGTTGGTACATCCCTGGAGCAGTAATGGCTACCCAGACCTTGAAGGTCCATAAGCCCGCATTAGTTGGTACAGTGGAGTGAACCCAGGAGGAGCTCTGAACATCAGAAATAGACAGCATCAAACAACACTAACAAGATTTAGAACAGGCCATCTCAAGCCATTGAAGATGGAAAATAATAACAAAATTTATCCCACTTGCCCAAAATTTAGCTTGGTACCTGCAGCTCCAGAACACATTTTGGCTTGCATTAGATGTACTAAACAGGACCTTTGGGAGAGGCCGCTGCTCATCATAAAACAGCTCGAGGAGCATGAACTCATGGAATTCGTGTAATCTTTACACAAAGGGATAAGAAACAACAACAACAACTTTTTTATTGGGGTGACAATCCAAATTGATTGTCCAAATGTATTGTATTAATGCATATTTAAAAGGAAAGTATTTAAGAAATGTTTGAAATTTGAGAAATCCATATTCGATTTATTTAAAAAATGCTTATTTTGGATCAAATATTGGAATGAGAACAAAAATATATATATACTTGATCAGAAATAAGCACTTTTAAGATAAATATATGTGGCAATATCGTTGCGGAATTTCTTGTTGTTGGATGCGAATGGTGAGATTTGATTGAAGCGCAGTCGTTTGAGTGGAAGTTGCAGCATACAGTTAGGAATAATCAGGACACGTGATGGGGTTTGAAAATGAAAGGCAACTGGATTGGAGGAAAGAAAGCTTGAGAAGAGCGGAGCGATTTGGATTGTTAATTATCTGATCACATGACGGTGATTAAACTTAGCTGTGGGATGAGCAGAGGGAGAGAGGCCTCGCGAGTAGATGTCACCTTGTTGGAAGCGGAATCACAACTGTCCGAACTCGGCGAGAGCCAGTGAACCACTGTAGGTGTTGTTCCTATGAGAGCTAAAACACTACTAGGTCCGAACTCGGCGAGAGCGAGTGAACAACTGCCCATTCTTCCTTTTCGATTTTACACCAAGACTCAGTTCCTTTCTGATTGGTTGAGAGATGATCACATGATCTTTTCCTATTGGTCGACCTATTTAGGTGCTGTCTTCTGATTGGACCGCGGCTCTCTTTGGTGAAAGATATGGCCTGCCTGATATATCCGATTTCGTCAGGAAGTGTTGGGTAGCTTGACGCTTATAACTTCGACGGATATTAGATACGTCCTGTCTTTGCCGGAAATATTGGGTGTTAGCTTAACATTTATAACTTCTGGTCACCAGATACATCCTGCTTTGTCAGGAAGTATTGAGTGCTTCTTGACTAATATAACTTCTGCGGTCACTAGAGACGTCCGGTCTTTGCCCCTGCAATATTGACACAGGGGTGCCAAGAATAGTCGTGCCAGCTTTAGGCCTACTTCCTATGTCTTATTGCTACTTGCTTTCCTCCAGTTACCTTGTTCTTTATTAAGTCTTTGAAAATCATACATGGTACATACATAGTGGGTCGGGGTTGCATTTAATTATATACAAATTATGACAGATGCGCCCCCTACATGTGAAGAATTCAAGAAGGGGTTAGCCTGAGAGAATTCTGTAAGGTGAAAAATAATTTTGTGGGAAAATTAGTTGTGGGTATTGAGTCTATATACAAGCATTGGTGGCGATATAATAAGTAAAATAGAATGGTGTTGATGATATAGGTTGAATATAATTAATAGAAATCAAAAAATTTTTTAATTGTAAGAAATCAATGAATGCTATGGTACATAGTGGATTAAAAAGAAAAGAAAATGCGCCTAACTAATTTCTACTTGAAATTGGAAAAAATTCGAGGGAGTTCTATTAGGGCTTTTGAGAAATCAAAAATAATATAAAATAAAAAGTTGGACGAAATCAAAGTAAAGGTTTGGTTGCATGGTGAGGGAAAAAAAATGCTTTGTTGCATGGTGAAAAAAAAAAAGAAAAATGCCTAACCATATTCTATTCGAGATTGGGAATGAAATCGAAGGAATTCTATTAGGGCTTTTGAAATCAAAATAAATATAAAATAAAAAGTTGGACGAAATCAAAGTAAAGGTTTGGTTGCATGGTGAGGGAAAAAAAATGCTTTGTTGCATGGTGAAAAAAAAAAATTGCCTAACCATATTCTATTCGAGATTGGGAATGAAATCGAAGGAATTCTATTAGGGCTTTTGAAATCAAAATAAAAATAATATAAAAATAGTTGAATGAAATCAAAATTGAATGTGTTTGGTTGAAAAAAAAATTGTTTTGTTGCATGGTGATAAGGGAAAATGCCTAGTTACTTTTTTGCTCGAATTTTGGAAAAGAATTCGAGGAAATTTCATAAGGTCTTTTGAGAAATCAAAGTAAAATAAAAAGTTGAAAGAACTCAAAGTGAATGCTTGATGCATGGTGAAAAAAAAAAGAAAAATGCCTAACCATATTCTCGCTCGAAATTGGGAATGGAAAACGAGGGATTTTTATTAGGGCTTTTGAGAAATCAAAAAATAATTAAAAATAAAAAGTTGGAGGAAATCAGAAATTAATATAAAAGTTGGGAGAAATCAAAGTAAATGCTTGGTTGAATGGTGAAAAAAAGATAGAGAAAAAAAAAGAATGTTTTTGTAAAACAAAATGAAATATAATATCCAATTTTGAAAGAAAACCAATGAGTTTTGGTTGATTGGAAACTATGATAACATAACTAAGTGGTAAATATATGATAATTAATGATTAAAAGTGATGTTAAGTTGAATAAATTGATAAATTGATTAAATATTTACATTTTTAATTGAGAGAAAATAATGAAAATGATTAATATGAAAAATAAGGTGTATTGGTTTGAACCCTTTGGTATCTACATGCCCTATAAATTTTTTAATTGCTCAATTATGCCCTATAAATTTTTTAATTGTTCAATTATGCCCTATAAATTTTTTGTCTCATCTGTAGCGACACTTAGGTGAAAACGTGATTCTACCCCTCAAGTGCGTTTATGCTATGTGTACAGGAGACATGGAAATCTATATAACCTTTATGTGTAATTTTTATCTTTGTGTGTGTTGTGAAAAAATGTTAGAAGTCTGTTGTGTAAGAAATGTGTGAGCGAGTTCTATATGTTGTCTTGTGGATGTGGAATTGGATGATAAAAATCGATATGTAGACTCGAACTGGAATCAAAAATCGGTGGCATAGCGAGGTTCCCAGTTGACCTCAATAGGGGACCTTCTCATTGTAATTAGAGATACGGAAGTGGGGTGTGTCGGGCAAAAGAGAGGGAATGAAATTGGAGATCGGACGAGGCGCTCCGCTTTGTTTGCATAGGCCGAATTTATCGCCGCGGATTACACTTCCTGTCGCGGTGTCTCAAAATTCTCATTTCCTGCCGTCTATTTATTTTGGGGTGTGGCTCGGGTCTTGTTTTTGGAGTATGACTTCTCCGACATTGGTTGGTCATCTTTTCAGTTACTGCTATCTCTTCGGAGTTTATTTAGATTTTCTGCAAAAATGGTTCCTAAAATTATGAGAAGTTTTATAAATGCTTGTCCAAAATTAAAAACTGCCTCTTGTAGTTCGAAGATTTTATGAGCGGGCATGGTATAGATAAACAAGTAATTAATGATTAAAATTGGGATACAGTTGTATGGTAGAACTAACAAACAAAGGATAAAAATCAGATGAAAGATAGGATATTGCCCCATGTTCGTCCATATTTTTGTAACTGGGGACTCTGAAATATTTGCTTGAACCTTATTAATTGTAGAATTTGAATGATTGGTAGGTTCGCAGTTCTCCTGTTTGATATCTTTAGGGAGTGGTGTGATATGATTGAGCTGGTTGTCAGGTTTGCAGTTTTTAACATCGGGGAAGAGTGATGCAAATCGTCTTGTTGCAAAAATGGCAGGGTCTAAATGCCTGAAAGGTTCGCTGCTGGTGGGTTTGAACCTTAATGACTCTGTTGGGAATAATTCGGGTGTTAAATGTTTGAAAGGGAACGTGTAATTGGGGTTGTGCTTTATATGATATGTGCTAACGGCGGGTGGTGATATATAACGGATTTTTTCTGTATACAGTTTAAGTTTGTTGACGTGGATTGTGTCAGTGTCTCTTTGAAGTGGTTGATTTGGTCGATCTATGCGGACCACATTTGGTGAAATAATTTCTAATATTGTGTGAGGTCCTGTGAAATATGGCGCAAGTTTCCCTGTATTTGGGTGGTGATATAATTTTACTAACACTAGATCACCTACTTCGAAATGTGGTTGCTTGTGTCGTTGGTCATAAATGTTTTTGTCTTGTAAATGTTTGTTTTGTGTGCGTGTGTGTGCAATTTTTCTAGCTTTGTCGATATCTGGGTACGGTGTGTTATGATTAGAGATTTCTGGGGGTAGGATACCAAACATTAAGTATATGGGTGGAAAACCTGTGGTAGAGTGGGGTGTCTTGTTATATATAAGTGTAACCTTCTTGACCAACTTGGTCCATGCGACCTTAGGATTTTCTAGGTGTAATAACCTAAGTTTTCCCGTGAGGGTGGCGTTCAGGCGTTCACATAGGCCGTTGGCTTGTGGGTTGTTGCTGGTTGTGATTAACGGGTGAATATTTCTATTAAGGAGAAAACTACGAAATTTGGGTGAAGTGAAGGCAGGGGCTCTATCCGTAAGAAGGCGTTTTGGAGAACCATCCTGGAATACTCGCTTAAGTACCTGTTGGTAGGTGGTGGTATTGGTCGATTTAGATGGAAAAGCCCACGCGTAGCGTGAAAAATGATCGACTACCACATGGAGGTATATCTTGGTGTTGCCATATTTGGCAAATCCTGCTATGGTGTCCAGAGATAAAAGGTCGAAGGGTTCTTTAGATTCCGGAGGTTGACTTAATTCTCCGTAAGTGGGTCCTACTGGACGTTTTGTTAATTGGCAGGTGGGACAGGTCTTAACTTTTTGTTTAATATCTTTTGACATACCTTGCCAGTAATATTGTGTGGAGATGATTCGTGACATTTGGGAAATACCGGGGTGATTGTATTGTGTGTGTACTGTTTGTAAGAGTTGTTGTATGAGTGGTTTTGGAAGTATAATCTTGGTTACACCTTTTCGGGAAACTGTATGTAATCCATTACGATCAATGGTCAAAGTAGACTCTTTCGATGGAGGAGGTTGGTGTGTCTTGATAAGGGTGGCGTCCAAGAATCCACAAAACGGGTTACGGGACAAGAGATCTGCTTCATATTGTAGTTTTCCTTTTATGTAGCGGACCTCATATTCGTAACTCGATAGTCGTAAACTCCATCGAAACAGTCTGCCGGACGGGTTCTTGATGGTTTTCAACCACTGCAATGCGTGATGGTCAGAAAATATAGTAAATTTTCTGCCCATAAGATAGATGCGAAACTTCTCCACACTCTCAACGATTGCTAAGCACTCAAGTTCAGAGATGGAGTAGTTTTTCTCGTGTGGGCGCAATGTTCGGCTGAAATACTGAGCTGGATATACGTTCCCGTCAGGGTGAACTTGTTTGAGAATGCCTGCTATACCGAGGGTGGATGCATCGCAATACACTTGGCATGGCAGACCTTCTTTGTAAAGGTGTAAAATGGGGTGTTGTGTGAGGTTTCCTTTCAGGTCAATGAACGCCTCTTGACAAGCTTCATTCCAGTTCCACACGACGTCCTTTTTGAGGAGATTGTTGAGTGGTGCTCGCAAGCGAGCGTATTCCGGAATGAATTTGTTATAGACGTTCACAGCGCCTAAGAAGGATTGTAGTGTTTTTCGGTTGTGTGGTTGTTTAATGGCGTGGATGATGTCGGTATTGCGTGTAAGTGGTGTAATTGTACCAGCTGTAATGGTGTAACCAAGAAAATTTATGGATTGCTTAAAAAATTCGCATTTTGCGAAGTTAAGTTGTAGTTTCTCCGCTTCGCAAAAGGCGAAAAATTGTCGCAGGTGGTTTTGATGCTCCTCCAACGTGTTGGAGTAAATGATTAAATCATCAAAGTAATGTGCCACACAGTCAAGTCCGTGTCTCTGTAGGACCTGACTTATGGCTCGTTCGTAAATCTGAGGACTGGTTTTTAACCCGAAAGGTAATCGAGTGGGTTGGTATAATCCTTCAAAGGTGGCAAATGCTAACAGTGGTCGAGAATCGGGGTGTATTGGGACTTGCCAATACGCAGAGGATATGTCGGCCGTGGAGAAATATTTGGCCTGTGCGAGGCGGTCTAGGATATCCTCGATTCTCGGGAGGGGATGGACATCAGAGCTGATTAGCTCGTTCACCTTCCTATAATCGATACAAAACCGTTTGGTCTTGTCGCGCTTAGTGACGAGGGTGACAGGGCTCGAGAAAGGTGAAAAAGATTGCTCTATGATGCCGTTCTCCAGCATTTGTTGTATTTGGTTACGGATTTCTTGTTGGTCACATATCGGAACACGATATGGACGTATGGTGATTATTTTTTCGGAATTCGTGGGTATTTTTACTGGTGGAATCCGTAAGCATGGTACGTTGAATTTGTCCTGTGAAAAAATGTGAGTGTACCTTTGTAGAAGTGTTGTGAACTGTGGTGTATAGTGAGTGTTAGGTGTTGTGTTGTAGTATGCATGGGGTAAAGGGTTTTGTTGTGTATTAGTGTGAGTGTCGAGTTCGTTGTGTGGGTTGGTCATGTGAGAGTTGTGCAACGGTGTGTGATCACCTATGTTTTTGGTATGCGAGTTATCCCGCTGTGTGGGTGCGTTTTGGACAGGTTCATAAGTTGAAGTTGTTGTGGTTTGATTATTTGAGGGCATGTAAAAAAGGCAATTGACTTTAGTGAAAAAGGGGCATGTAGATAAGTGGGTTTTTCTCAATGAATGCACGCAATGGTTGTCATAGGCGGAAAGTTGGGATGCGGGGAAAATTTTTTGTGACATCGCCTGACACTGCCAGTACGTGCATACATTGGACACGTGATTAAAATGGTAGGAAAGGGTAGACAATGGGGCGCCCAGCTGGAATATAGTGCATTTATTAAAATCTATGGTTAATCTGAATTTATGGAGGCTATTGATATTAAGAATTCCAAATGGCAATGGTGCATTCACTACATGGAAATTCTCCTTTCGCGATATTTGTCCTATTGTCAGTGGGATAGATAGTTTACCCATGGTTTTTGCAAATCCGTTTAGGGTTTGGAGGTGTAGTGAATGTCCCTCAAGGGTTAAATTAGGCAGGTGGGTTTTTAGCATATGATAAATATTATATGGCACTATACTCAGGCTGGCGCCTGTATCAATTAAAAAGGGGCATGATACATTAGGGGCTAGAAAAAGTTTGACAGTCAGTTGGTTTAGGGAGCCTACCTCAGTCTCGAAAGGGCTGCTCTGCTGGGGTGTCTCTGTCTTGACTTGGTTGTTGTGGAATCGGAACTGGTGATTTTGGGACCGTTTGCACTGTCCGGACTTTTTCGTGGGTCGTCGGGACTGGTCGACGTCGGCATTCGCTGTGCCAGTGTCTCGCGCCGCAGAACTTGCAGTTGGACGGTGGAAGAGGTGCATTCCATGCACCTGGGCGTCGGGGTGTGCTGTGGTACGGACCCGACATTGTGGGTGGTTGATCTTCTCTGGGTCGCGTTGCCGGTACACTGGGCCCGTGGATCCGCTGTACCAGTCGGAACCATTCTCCTAGGTTCTCGGGAGGTACTACGCGGACTAGGCGCTGGTCGTTGAATGGCAGTCCTTCTGTCAGCGTCTCGAGGATCACCTCCTGTGGAAGTCCTAGTTGCAATCCCATGGCGGTTTTCTCCCGGTAATAGGTCTCTAGGTTGGCTTGCCCAGTAAGCTTCATGGCGAAATATTTCGCAAAGGACGCTTCGCTTGACTCAGGATAGAGATCTAGGAGGATTTGTCTCACCTGGAAGTAGCTCCGGTCGGCCATCCGAAGTTTCCTGAAGAGCTCCAGGGGTTGTCGCGCCAGATAGTTTGGCAGGCGGAGTAATTTTTCTTGTTCTCCCATGGATGCGTCTTCCATTTTTCGGTCGAATGCTTGGAAAAACTGTGTCGCGTTGTATGTGCCATCGAAAGGCGGGATTGTCGATTCCGCTCCATCAGAAATTTTTACTCGGGACAGGAGCGTTGACAGCTGGTTGACGGCGTCCGCTAGGGGCGCAGTTGTCTCGCCCGTCTCTCTTACTTCCTGCCTCCCTTCCGTGGTTGTTTCCATCGGGCCGTCCGACTTTATGCTTATGGGATCCTGATCAAGCTCCATAATATCTTTATCCTGATTTAATTCCATCTCTTTATCCTGTCGACTTATGTAATATAATCCAAAGTTATTACACTGCAATATTTGATGTATTACACTGTGGTAGAATCCTGTCGACTTAACCGTTCTGTGGCAATATCGTTGCGGAATTTCTTGTTGTTGGATGCGAATGGTGAGATTTGATTGAAGCGCAGTCGTTTGAGTGGAAGTTGCAGCATACAGTTAGGAATAATCAGGACACGTGATGGGGTTTGAAAATGAAAGGCAACTGGATTGGAGGAAAGAAAGCTTGAGAAGAGCGGAGCGATTTGGATTGTTAATTATCTGATCACATGACGGTGATTAAACTTAGCTGTGGGATGAGCAGAGGGAGAGAGGCCTCGCGAGTAGATGTCACCTTGTTGGAAGCGGAATCACAACTGTCCGAACTCGGCGAGAGCCAGTGAACCACTGTAGGTGTTGTTCCTATGAGAGCTAAAACACTACTAGGTCCGAACTCGGCGAGAGCGAGTGAACAACTGCCCATTCTTCCTTTTCGATTTTACACCAAGACTCAGTTCCTTTCTGATTGGTTGAGAGATGATCACATGATCTTTTCCTATTGGTCGACCTATTTAGGTGCTGTCTTCTGATTGGACCGCGGCTCTCTTTGGTGAAAGATATGGCCTGCCTGATATATCCGATTTCGTCAGGAAGTGTTGGGTAGCTTGACGCTTATAACTTCGACGGATATTAGATACGTCCTGTCTTTGCCGGAAATATTGGGTGTTAGCTTAACATTTATAACTTCTGGTCACCAGATACATCCTGCTTTGTCAGGAAGTATTGAGTGCTTCTTGACTAATATAACTTCTGCGGTCACTAGAGACGTCCGGTCTTTGCCCCTGCAATATTGACACAGGGGTGCCAAGAATAGTCGTGCCAGCTTTAGGCCTACTTCCTATGTCTTATTGCTACTTGCTTTCCTCCAGTTACCTTGTTCTTTATTAAGTCTTTGAAAATCATACATGGTACATACATAGTGGGTCGGGGTTGCATTTAATTATATACAAATTATGACATATATTTATGAAAAAGGATATAAAGTATATACACATAAGGTATGTAAGGACCATAATTACACTCATGGACAAAACTTAAGGAAGTTGTAGCATGTATATCAGGATTCAGACAATAACTCTGAAAGATATTTGATACACCTTTTTTGAAGACACACTAGATAACCAAGTTTGAAAAAAAAATTGTCCCATGTCTCCTTAAATGACGGCATCAGACTTTCCACTTCCTTAAGTTTGTTCATGAGTGCATATATACAGTAGAACCTCCCTGTAAAGGACACCTAATTGCAGAGCCAAAGTGTTCTTTAGGGAGAAGTGTCCTCTTACTGGAGAGTTTTTAAATAGTAAAAATGAAGTAGAGGATTAAAAATGATAATTTTGCAAATGAAAACTGTCCTTTGTAGAGAGGTCTTCGCTAAAGGGAGGTTCTACTGTATAATAAATTGAACACACATTTTGGCTTGCATTAGATGCACTAAACAGGACCTTTGGGAGAGGCCGCTGCTTATCATAAAACAGCTCGAGGAGCATGAATTCATGGAATTCGTGTAATATTTACACAAGGGGATAAGAAACAACAACATAATTTGAACAAGAAGTTACTTTCGATATATTGAGCAACAAACAAAAAAGATTCACCAAGCTAGCAACTTAGTACAATAGGCTCTCATCTGTATGCTGGGCCAATATTTGAGGAGGAGTCTATATGTCCACACAACTCCTATAATATTCCAGGAACAGACCCATCAGATTTTATTTTTGTTTAAATCTGAGCATGAAACTCTGCTTCCCAATTTCTCTTTTTCACCAAACTTGTTTGTCCCTTTACTTTCACTGCCCCCAGAAAAAGTTGATTCTCCCACTTTTAGCTCTCCAAAATTCCACACCTGCCCCCTGTTTTTCCAGGCCTGTCTGTCCCTAGCCCTGTGGCCTTATGGAGCCAGGGTCCCATTAACATTACTAACCTCACCTTTCGATAAAATAATCCCTTGAATCAATATTACAATAAGAATATTAGACATCCAGGGAAAGGTTTCTTTTTTTTACCCCCTGGAGGCCAAATGTTCTTATTTTAATAACCTCACCCTGTCGCCCAACTTACTCTTAACATTACTAACTCACACCCTCTGATCTTCTAAATTCTACTCATATTCCCTTAGTGCATTTACCCATTCAAATTTCGGTTAGTAAGCCACATAAAAACACTCTTTTTTTTTAAATGGGGGTTCGTGGAAGGGAGGTTCAAACCATTGGTTTTCGATTGCTATGACCTGGGGTCGAATCCCACATTGGTAACTTTTTTCTAATAAAAAAAAAATACTCCAATGATCTCCTGAATCTTGCAAAAATCCAGCCCCACTAGCGAGTGCAAGTAACTAAACAGGGCTCTGGCACATTTGTAAGTGCAAAAGTCAAACTGCTTTTCACATGGGTAGGCATGTGGTGCACTTACAGTAAAAGCAGTCCCTAACTACCCACCATGATTATAATGGCCTGTACCACGTGTACTAGAGATTTTGAAAAATAAAAATAAATACTGGGTAGTTGGCGTTCTGCATCACAGGAACCTGAGTTATCTCTCTCTATCTGTCTCTCTAAAATATATTTAAAAATAAATGAATATTAAAATTATTTTTAAATTTTAAAATTGTTGAAAAGGTTGAACATTTGGCTATTTTTCAACATAGTCGCCTTGACGATCGATCACTTTTTGCATCCTGGAAACCAGTTTTAAATGCCGGCGTTGTACCACTCTCCCGCCGCGTCGCGAACTTTTTCGTCTTTGGTGAGATCGGGTAACGCCATTGTTTCGACTGATTCTTCGTTTCCGGGGTGTAATGATGTGCCCAAGTTTCGTTTCCAGCCACAATCGAATCCCGAAATTCTTCGCCCTCTTCCTCATAGCGGCAGAGAAATTCTGTGGCACTTTCCACGCGGTTGATCTTGTGTTCCTCGGGGAGCTTCTTAGGGACCCATCTGGCGGACACCTTCTTGTACCCAAGGACCTCCGACACAATATTCTGCACGGAGAAGTAGCCACATTCTTCTTTAAGACCTTCCATTATCTCATGAAGGGTTATTCTACGGTTATTGCGCATCATCTCGTCGATTCGAGCCACCGTTGATTCTGGCAAACTCGGCCGCCCTGACTGCTGCTCCTCGTTAAGGTTTTCCCGGCCCTCAGAAAACTTTCGGCACCACCTCCGCACGTTTTTCACGTCCACACACTTCTCACCGCACACCTCCACTAACTGTCGATGAATTTCTATCTGAGAAACTTTTTTTGCATTCAAAAATCGAATGACTGAGCGCAGTTCGCACCTGGCGGGCGAGCGAAGCGGGACCTCCATCCTAAACGGCTGCTATTCAGCGACTGAGTGTCCCAAAGTCACGCGGATTGTTCGAGACTGTGGCGTGGGAACCAAGGAATACAGCGCTGTTGCCAAATTTCGCCTACCAACTCGCGATCGGAAATGGCGTAGTTGGAGACCTTACTTTTCAATACGCCCTCGTACCTAAAATGAAGAAAAAAGACATTCAAATTGATCTAACACATCTTTGCCCAAAAGCCCAAATACTAGAACTGGATTCCAACTTTACATGTGACGTGATCCAGGTAAGATTAGAGCAGAAACTGTGAACATCCCTCCTCAAGCTAGGATAGAAATACACAGGTAAATGATTACCGTGTAGAATAGAATGCGTGTTCTAGATTCGATGGAAATCTCCACTATGTTGTTGTTGTGTCCATTTTTTCTTTTGTTGTATTATCTTGGATTTTTCCAAAGTATCAGCATCGAATACTGACATTAATCTTCACTATAAACACACTATATGAAGCACTATGTCAGATTCTACAGTTTTGGAATAGAGATGCAGCTAAAGACGAGGAGCGTATTTCTCAAATATTTCTCAATTGTCCTGACAGACAATTATTAAAGACAAAAACGATATGAATTTAAAAAAAATCTCTTGGAATGTCATTGTGCAAATGTTCATCCATAATTTTTTAAAAAGATAAGCAAGAAAAGATGTGTGTGAAAGTATAAACTAGAAAATAATTATAAAGTAGATTTTTTCTGATTTTGAGATGAACTATGGCAAACTTGAGAGGTGCTTTGAAATGTAACTCGCTCAGCAAAATCAAACATACACTATCCCTTATATTTTATATAAAGATGCCACGTTATCTCCTTATAAGAATCTACACAGAGAAAACTGGATGCGTATTCTATTATTTATTAATAGTTAATTCTATTCATAATTTCGACTTGAAAATTCAGCCAATAACAAAACTCAAGTAGAAAAGGAATGTAAATGCATATCTAAGGAATAAATAGATATACAGTAGAACCTCTCTGTAAAGGACACCTAATTGCAGAGCCAAAGTGTCCTTTAGGGAGAAGTGTCCTCTTACCAGAGAGTTGCTTAATTGTAAAAATGGTAATTTTGCAAATGAAAACTGTTCTTTGTAGAGAGGTGTCCGCTTAAGGGAGGTTCTAGTGTATAGGGAAACTAACAAGAAAAAAAAAAAAAAAGGGAAACTTCATAAAGGGAAAACTATTCCTCCCCTCTCTTCAATTAATATTTTTTTGAAAAATCCAACCTCTATCTTTTTATTAAACATCGGATTTAAAAAAAGATTGAAAGTAATTTTACAACACGCGCAGGTTTTATTAAGTAGAAGGCTGATAGAGGACACAATTTATGGATATATATTGATCCTTGATGTTGGGTTAGAGATCAGAACCTGCAATCATCATTCTTATATTTTTTTTACATAGCGATGTACAGTAGAAAACGAAAGGAATTACTTTATGGTGAATTTGATTTTTGAATACAAATGATTTTGATTGTCTTCTTGTCAGTGCGATCCTCCGCTAAAAGCAATCACAATATACTTTGGTGTTATATATACTATAATAAAAATTAACAAGAAGTATATTTTTATATTATGAACTAAGAGCGAGGTGTTTCGAGAAAAGACGTTTTTCTACTGGTTTATTGAAGCAATGTGAAGCCAGTAGAGAGAGCGCCTTTGCTCGAAATATCGATTTTTCACAATAAAAATATATTTTTATTAATTTTTTATTATAAGAGTCTATAAAAAACATTTTTAAAAATTGCTCATAATACTTTGGTACACTCTCGATAGGGAGGTCAAGTTAAAGAGCCAACAGTCTGTCAAAATTAATTTACTTAGAAACTGGTAATAAGTAAAATTGACTAAAAGACGAAAGCGGGAGAACACCTATAACTAATGTATATAATATTATTTCAAAATAATTATACATCTATATGTACATATTTACCATATAACTTTGCATATTAAAATTTCTTTCTCCCTTCTTTTTCCACTTATTTGTGTATCTCTCAAGTGAATCTGTATATAAGACTAAAGATCTCAAGAAAAATCGATGTGCAAAGTAAGGGTTCAGTGTAAATGCACATAGTTACTGTCTTGTGCAAGATTCAGACGCAAAGTAAGAACGCTAAGGGTCAGCAACTGGCCACAACGAGGAAAACTACCAAAGGAATGGAAGACTTGGATGCTCACGGCAGCACATCAGCTTTATATATTTCAGAAAGATGTTATAGTTCTAGAATCGTGGCAAAATCACGTACCTGGGTTCTAGAAGGGTCACAACAGCTGGCCGTTGAGACTTCAGAATGAGGATCTCTAGTCTAGAAAGGTGACAGCAGCCCGCTTTCGAGACCACAGAAGGAGGACTTCAGGTCTATAATGGTATCAACAGTCTGTTGCTAAGATTGCATACAGAGGCCTTCGGGTCTAAGACGGTGGCAAAAACCCACTGTCAGAAGGACCCAGGCGTTCAAGCAATACTAGCTTAGGTAGCCATTCCATCCTCTGATGTCAGAAGGACCGCTACAGAAGGAGGCTCTCATGTCTAGAATGGTGACGACT